CAAAAACTCCACAAAACACCCAGAGCATTAATTTAATTAACACTCTGCCGGAGGCCTCTAAACTCTAATCCTCTCAACGAAAGGATCATTAACGAAATGAAGAGATTCGAGACAGCAACGGAGCTCCCAGCCGCGGCAAGGCTGKCTGCGTGCTGCGGTGGGCACTCACCAGGACCCGAAATTCAGCCAGATCCTCAGCCCATAGCACAGCCCCACTGAGGGTCCAGGGACCCGCCTCACACGAGAACACTGTTGAGCATTGTGGCACAAGTCTGGTGTGATGCCGGACTCAACAGTCACCCTGCCACACTAGAGAATCACAGAATCATGGAATGGTTTGTGTTGGAAGGGACCTTCCACATGGCATTCCAACCCACTGCCGTGGGCAGGGACACCTTCCACTAGAGCAGGTGAAGAGATGGGCACAGCCCATACCCATCCTTTGGGATGCACCATGATGCTGAYAGTCTGGGTGCCATCATCTCCATTGAGACTGAAAACCTAAACTGCTGAACCAGGAGAGGAGCTGGAGCGCCATTTGTTTTTTAAGTGTTATTATGCAGCCCAGATGCAGGCTCCTTTCAAGAGGCCGCCTCAATCCCTCATCTGAGGGCTGGGAAAACATCTCCATCTTGCCCAGACCTGCCAGCATGAACAGCAGAAAGGGCTTTTCTTACAAAGGAGCTAGAGTGTACCTTGGCAGGAGAATTCACAGCACACGGTGTAGTCAGGGAAAAGCTTTCACAGTCAAAGGTTCCCAGCCCATGTGTCTCACCCCAATGTGATAGGGACAGAGATCTTGTCCTTTGCAGGTGACTCGCTTGGAACGTTACCTCCAGCTTCAGAGCCACACAGAAAATCCAGAGCAGCTGTGAGGAGGACATCCATGAGACAGCTCATTAGTGTAGTGACCAGGAGCAGAAGCACAGGGCAGGGATCATTYCCTCTGGGTTTGGATGCCAGCAGCAGCCTCAGTAGGGCCATGCTGCCCTATGGGACAGGTGTACCTCCGAAGTACCCACAGCCAATGTCACCTCTCCCTGTGGTGAATGGGATCCCAGCTGGGGCTCTGAATGGTCTTCAGAGCCTCAAGTTCCAAATGTGAGAATACAAAATGAGGAAGAATTCAKGTGTTGCTTGCATAAAAAGCTTCTTTGCCAGTAGCAGCCTGCACAGGTCTGGAGATGCTACTGCAGCTCACCTATAGGCACTGATCACCTGATTTTGGTGCTGTGTGTGAGCACTCCAGTGTCTGAAGCAGCTTCTGGGACTCAAATCGAGCAGTTCACCAGAACAAAGAGAGCTGTGGCTGCTGGTGGGGCCAAGTCACACCCCAGAGACTCACACAACCTGGACAGTTTTTTTGGGATGGCCAGGAGATACTCTAGTATGCCATCTCTCCTCAGACCAACACAGCCTTCCCTGGGACTTCAGCCCTCTAGGGTGCCAGGTGGTCACAGACCCTCCAAGTTTGGGACTGGATGCTGGACAGCATTTGCAGAAGTTTCCATTTTCAGTCTTTGCCCCTGTCTCCTCCCTGCATCTCCTCGGGATGTGTCTCCAGGATAGAGCTGACATGTCAATGCCTCCTTGCCCAAAGATGGAGGAATAACAGTTCCCAGACCTCCTGAGGCTGTCCTGCTCTGACCTGGGGCAGTTTTCAGCATACACAGAATAAGTGGTCCTCTCCATGTTCACCTCCTGGGAAAATCCCAAGACCTCCCATTTCCCMAGCCCAGGAAAGAACACAGATGGTCACAGAGATTAAAACATACAGAAAATTAACCACCCATGCAAATGAGCTCCTTCATCCAGCCCAACACTGCCAGGTGGTTGGAGGTCCAGCACYTAGATGTGATTATCATGGTTTGCTGAGCTCTGATAACAGCCTTGTATTGACAGGACAGGGGCCAGTAAACTGAGCGGGATGAAGACAGTTTGTAGGGAAGGCAGGATGCAAACTGCCAGAGCCAAACAGCTGCTGAAACCACATTCACCTCCTGCTACAGCAGAAGAAAAAGCAGCAGCGCCAGAAACAGGCCTTGTCAGCAGTACAGATCAATTCAGCACTCAGCTATCTTCTATCTTGTGTGTTCCCACTGAAAGGCAGCTCTGATGGAGCAAGCAGCACTGCAACCACAACGTGAGCCATCTGCAACTCCGGATGCTACTCACACAGCACCAGGTGCCCACAGGATGGCAGAATACAACCCACACCAGCTCCTGCTGCCTTTCCTAGAAGGCTGAAGTCTTGGCATAAAGCTGAGGCATGGGATCTGTCAGCACAGCACACAGGGATGGTGCCACATAACCTTTCCGAGAAAGGTAGGGCTTTTCCAGGTTACCTCCCAGGGAGGAGCTTCACCTCAAATCCACCAGCAACAGGTTTAAGTCTTATTTCATTTTTACCCCAAACCACAGAAAAAATTYCAACAGGAGTGGACATTTTGCTCAGCCACTGCCCAGCTGCCAGTGGATCCTKAGGGCCAGGTTTTGGGCCATGCCATGATGCAGATAACCATGTTAGCTATTAAAAGCCTCCACTCCGCACCCAAGGAAATCCTCAAGCAGTGCTGACCCCATCTGCCAGCCTGTGAGCCTCTGAGCAGCCACGGATTGGCTGAGGCCAATCCCAGCCATACGGCAGAGGTTCACCTCCACGTCAGCCACGGCACCTCCAGCACAACATCAACACAGACGCACAAAGTCACGTTCCAGCTCAACGTGGCTCTGGGCTGGCTCACATCTGCCCTCCCTTGCTCCCAAACTCACATTTGAGTTCACCTGGGGTCAGGGAGGCAACTCATGCTGTCCTGTCTGATACATACCCTCAGCACAAAGGAAGAGCTCCCCCTCAAGTGCCCACGAATAGCTTACCCCATCTCCAAGGGGTTTTGGAGAGTGGATATAGAAATACAAGCCCTTGAGTGGCTGGTGCTATCCAGTGAGCACCTAAAGCAGCATGGCAATCAGAGGGATCAGGTCATGGAGGTCACATACAGCATGATACACAGCTGCTTTGATACTCTGATGATGCTTTGAGGTATCAGCCCACCCCACTCCCTCACATAAAGCTGAGGTCAGTGCTGACACCACGTTCTCCAGGCTCTAAGGTGACKCAGAGCTTCCCTATAGCCACCCTGCACTGCCTTGTTAGTAACACTTACCAGATTGCTGTACTGCCACTGTAGTCAGCTCCAAATGCTCCCAGCACACGCCAAGCCTCATATCCCCTCCTTAAGTCCAGCTCTGGTCAATAAGAGCATGTATTCATGCCATCAGGCTGGGGTTCCTCCTACWCTTTTGTTGCTCTCCAGGGCTCAAAAACTTGCCTCACATTAAGTCAACTAGCAAGAACTTCACCTTATTCCTTGTTACCAAACCTGGCTTTCCCAGGAGTGGCAGGAAAAGTCAGGTTTCTCAGTCATCTATAAACAAACAGGAGCGGAAAACATTTTAACAGTATTCGTTCATTTAATTCAATAGCACACGGGGGTGTTGTGTTGGCAAAGGACTTTGGGGTGAGCAAACGTAGGAGCAAGGGCAGGCCCCATGCCCCAAAACACTTCTCAGGGGCCAGGAAAAATGTCAACATTGAGCTCATGGCCTTACACAGGCCAGGATGAGCCTGGGGTGGCTCCCACAGCCTCAGCATCCTTCCAGGGGTCTCCCAACTGCCCCAAATCACCAGGAAGTCACCACCAGCCTGGGAGACACAGCACAAGACAGCCCAAGTTCCTTTAAAGCTTATTCTTCTAAATCTGCCAACGAGTGGCAACTTTGGAGCCTTCAGAGAGCCCCAGGGTCCGACCTGAGGGGGCTCAGACAGCACAAAGCTTTTGAGACACAGCATTTCTGTCCCAACRCAGACCCTGAGCCAGGAGCCCAGATGGTGGTTGTGTGAGCTCTGCCCACGGTGCTCCGTCCTCATCTAGCAGTCCAGATTTTCTCGGGGGGCATCAGGAGGGGACTAGACACAAACCATACTAATTGGATAGACTGAGAGTCCTGCAGCCCTACAGAGCTGCAAGCAGCTGCTCAGAACCTCTTGCGAACCACAAAAACAGTTTCATGTAAGGAGCATGGATTAAAYGCCACAAACACCCTTTTCTTCCCCCTGTCCAAAGTGCATTTTCTCCCACTGTAGTCTCAAAACAAAATCCAGCCCAACAGATCAAACCAGGAAATTTAGCAAACTTTGAGCACA